AAGACCAATCCCAGAAAGTTCTCATTCTAACAGGAATAAGGAAAAGTTCTACCCATTTTTACAGAGGAAATAAATAAAAGATTATCCAGTCATTTAAAAAAACTAAATGATTTGTATTATCTAACCCTAATGTATATTTGATCTTTCCTTGACTAATAACCCAGGTAGTTCTATTATTTTCATGCATTTATTTAAGTTCACAAAGTCATTCACAAACAACATCTCTGAAAATCCAGACTTTCATTATAATGCAAACTGATGTACCAAAACTCCAGAGTTAAAAGGTATTACAGAATGTAAAGCAGGTTCCACTGATTATTATCTTTTAGAAAGCACTTTTTTTCTTTAAGTCTCCTTTATTGTGAAATGCTATATAATTACAATTCCATTGTACAGCATGCTATTAAAATAAAGCACTTTATATAAATAGGTTTTAACAAAAGAATGTAAGATTATATTTAAACATTTTAATAATCAAAAAGCTTAATAGTTTTAGAATTTTTTATAATTAAAAATAAACTAGAAACACTCCTTCATTTTACAGAGAAAGGTAAAGCTTAGAAAAATTAAGTGACTCCCCCAAAAAGAGAATTATATAAGTACTGGGGATATAAACCTAAACAAGATGTGTAGTCCCTATATCCACTTTAATTAAGGTAAAGCAAAATAGTGCTATCATGAGAGAGAAGCTTTGCCACATATTAGAATTCTGGTTCAAGTATATACAAGTCACTCCTACTGGGAAAATTGAAAATAATAGTTAACAAAAAAACAAAAGACCAGATAATACAGTCAAGACAGCAAATAAGAAGGAAAGAACTGTAGAGGGATATAGTCAGCTGGTAGAGTGCTTGCCTCCCATGCACAAAGCCCTGGGTTCAATCCCCAGCACTACCAAAAAAAAAAAAAAAAGAAGAAGAGCAAGAAGAAGAAGAAGGAAAAAAAACAATGGCTCATAATTTCACTGTTATATCTATTCATAGGCAAATGCTTGACATGCTGTTATAGGAATAAAGGAATAAAATTAGAAAGACACTAGACATCTGGTGTAACATCAGACACAGTTCTCCATGCATACAGGTGTAAATGTAAGCACAAAAGTTCACCAAGAGGCAGGCAGTGATTTGCCCCTAGTGAACAAATTACCTTTCTAAAACAATGTGAATTTTACAGTCAACAGAGATTCTGCAGTCTCTGTAGCTCAAGGAATAGTTAAAAAAAAAAAAAATTAAAAGATTAAATTCCCTTGTCTATTTGTTGTGCTTTGTTATTGGTTTAACAAATCTTTATTAATTGTATGACTGTTGAAAACCATTAGGAGTTTTTATAAATTTGTAACCTCAGTCTACCCTGCCACAAGTAAATCCCACCAATCAAGTACTCTTTTAGGTAGTAAGTACCAACTGGGGCTATAGCTCAGTTGGTAGAGTGCTTGCCTTACACGCACAAGGCCTGTTTTCAATCCTCAGTACCACAAAAAAAGAAGAAAAGAAAGAAACAAACAATAAGTACATATATTTAAGACCATATATGTTGACACATACATGTGTATAAACGTATATATTGTCTCTGTGTGCTTATAAAGGGAGGGTAAAGTGATAGAAAGTGACCATTGGGTTTAGAAGTTCTGAGAAGTAGTGACCTAAATGAAGTGAGGAAGAAGGAATATTGTGAAGAAATCTGCCACACATATAGCTGGAAGAACAGCAAATACAAAGGCCCTGAGATGAGCATTATTTCATGTTTGAAGACCAGCCAAGAACTAGAGTGGCCAGGCCCAGAACAGAGTAGAGATAAGATCAGAGAGTTATGAGCAGGAACTTGATCATATAGGGTTTGGTATGCTCTGGGTCAGATATTATTCTGAATGAACTGGGGAACCATGGGAGCAGAGCAGTGTTGTAGATTCATTTATATATTTTAAAGCTCGTTCTGGCTTCTGTCTCCAGAACTTATTTCAGAAGGGCAAGAAGAGGAGCAGAGACACAAGCTGGGAGGTTATAGTAAAAGCCTAAACAAGAGGGAATAGTATTTTAGATTTGGAGGTGATAGAGAAACTACTGATAGTTGGATATGGGGAATATCTGGATATTGAGTATATGGAAAAAAGAAAAGCCACAGAAAGATGTTTTAAGAGGGGCTGGGGTTATGGCTCAGTGGTAGAGTGCTTGCCTAGCCACATGCAGGGACCTGGGTTGGATCCTCAGCACCACATATAAAGAAAATAAAGGCATCGTATCCAACTACAACAATAACAACAAAAAAGATGTTTTAAGGATAAAAATTAAGTTGTACAATAATTATCCTGCCAAAGGAATTTTCAGAATTACAGCCTGTTGGCTCTCATCTCCATGCTCAACCTTCCACAGCATCCTCTTCTGAACTGTCAAGAGGCTAGATGTTTGTAAGGCATGTTTCCTGGCCCTACCCGCACCCGCAAGCTGGGAAGTTAATGTCTGCCAGTGGAAACTGATGGCAAATTATTAATAGGCAGGAAAAAGTGAAAACCCACTTTCTTCCTGTTTCTGCTCTGACACAGCCTCTGTAAACTGTGAACTACTCCAACTTTCAGCTTAATGGTGGGACGATTGCCCAGCATGCCTGAGGCCATGGGTTCATTCTTCAGTACTGCCAAGTGCATGGGGGTGGGGGGAACATGCATACTATGGAGAAAACATTTAATCTATTCTGTCAATTTAAAATTAATAACATTTTGATTTTGAGTGGTACTGGGGATTGAACCAGAACCTCACACATGCTAGGCAAGTGTTCTACCCCTGAGCTACATTCTCACTATCTCAATTGCCCATTCTCCTGCCTCAGCCTCCCAAGTAGCTGGAATTACATGCATGCACCATTATCAAATCAATAACTTATAAGATGTTTAAATCTAAAGATCTTTTAATTTCAAGAGAAATCAAGGGTACTAAATATTGTTCTCTAAATCAATAAAGGCAAAAAGAAAACTAATAACTGGAACAATTGGTATAAAATATTAGAGATAAAGCCACTAAACTCAAAGAAGATAGTAGAAAATCTTCATGACCTTGAATTTGGAAGTGAATTTCCATAGGTATGACAAAAAAAAAAAAAAAAGAAAAACTGGACTTTACACTTCATCAAAATTTAAAATGTTTGTATATCAAAGCACAATATCAAGAAAGTGAGAAAGAGCTAGGTGCAGTGGTACACACCCATAATCCCAGCAGCTCAGGAAGCTGAGGCAGGAGGATCACAAGTTCAAAGCCAGACCCCTGTAATTTAGTGAGGCCCTGAGCAACTTAGGAAACCTTGTCTCAAAATAGAAAATAAAAAACGGGCTGGGGATGTGTCTTATTGCTTAAGCACCCTGGGTTTAATTCCTGGTGCCAAAAAAAAAGCAGGGATGGGTAAAAAAGAGAGGTTGGGCAGGTAGTTTAGTGGTAAAGCATATAGTTATAATAATATAATAATAATATACTTATCATGTATAAGGCTCTGGGTTCAGTCCCTAGCACAGAAAAAAAGAAAAGAAAACCTACAAAACGACAGATACTATTTGCATATTATTTATTGGCAAGGGTTTAATATTCAGAAGATATAAAGAACTACAAATATACAACTCAACAACAACAGAAAAAACTTTTAAATGGACAAAGGAAGGTTGGAGGTATGGATGGGTGTAGAGAGCTTGCCTAGCACATATGAGGTCCTGGTTCAATCCCCACCATTGCTAAAAACAAACAAACAAACAAAGACAAAGGAGATGAGCAAGAAAGGAAGAGTCTGTAATTCCAGCTGCTCAGGAGGGTGAGACAGCAGAAGGATCCTAAGTTCCAGGCCAGCCTCAGCAATTTAACAAACCCTGTTTCAAAATAAAATAAATAAATAAATAAAAATGGCTACAGATGCAGCTCAATGGCAATGGCAGAATACCCCTAGGTTCAATCCACAGTACTGAAAAAAAAATTTTTTTAATAAATAAAAATGGGAAAAGTACTTTAATAGACATCAATGGTATAAGAGCAAAAGATACAGAAATGGCTAATAAGCACAAGACTCTCAAGTGCATTATCATAAGGCAAATGAAAATCAAAACCAAAATGAACTACCACTTCACTCCTTTCATAATCCAAAAAAAAAAAAAAGCAATTTCATGGTTCTTCAAATAGCTAAACACAGAATTATCACTTGATCAGCAACTCCACCTTAGTATATATTCAAGAGAATTAAAAACAGACACTCAAACAGATACTTAATCATGTTGATTTGCATGCAGCTAAAATCTGGATTACAATTAAAATAATATATAATTTCATCCTTAATATGTTGACTGAAAAAAATTTTAAGATTGAATTCACTAAGAATAAAAAATTAATGTAGTAATTGACAATATAATTATTGATACACTTACTATAGACAGCTATTTACTGCTTCAAAATTTATTACATGACAGCTATATTGATTAAGCTTTTGGAAAATAAACGAGATATTTAACACATTTTTAGAAAGTTTATAAAGCAATTTCATGACATTCCAAATGCAATATAAACCCTCACTCTTGAAGGATAAATGCCCTCAGACCTTAAATACACATATAAATAGTTCAAAGATTACAGTACTCTTTTAATATTGGTAGTTAATTAGATAAAAGGGATATATTTGGAAGTATCTTAAGAGAAACAGCTAAATTTAAAATGACTTTCTACTTCTTTATTTTTAAATTTAAAACTAGCATAAAAATAAAAAAAAATTTAAATAAAAAAAAATTTTAAACTAGCAAAGACAGAAATTAAAGGGAAAAAATTAGCTTTAATCAAGGATGTCCTTCATTAATAATAAGTTCCCCATATTGGGATGGGAAATCCACCCATACACAGACACACTGAATATTTCAGATCCACCCAACTAAAAAGCTGTTGCTCAAAGTCACCAAATTCAATGTTGTTCGTTTCACAAAATACTGCCAAACCCAAGAAATGTACTAAATAATGATCATAGTGACACCTACTGACACTTACTGTGTGAAAATTTATCATTTCTTGAAGACTGTCAGAAAATTTGGTCAAACTTGTCTACAAGAAAGAAACCAAAAGAAAATCAAGTCATTTAAGAGTCATAAAAATAGTCACAAAAACTGTAACTTTAAGCATTCCTCACAGAAAGATTGAGTTACACTGTAAATAATAACATTTACTTCCAAAGACAATCTTACGTGTAGACTCATAGCTCATAAGTATGCTCTGAGTCTACACGTAATAACATATAAAACCTAAAAAAGTCAAGGAATTGGAGTTGCCCCATCAATGGTATGAATAACCCTAAAGGTAAACTTGTTTGAGGGTATCAAGACTGCCCCTTTAAGCATTTATGGATCAAATAATAATCAAACCACATCCATTTCTTCTCTAGTTATTATTAGTCATGAAAGAAATGTAACACTGTACAGTGTTGTGGGGATCCAAACTAATCAGAAGCTATACAGCCCCCAAGCATAGAGTCAAGTTTTGTTTGTGGGATAACATTCTCTGCTTGCACTTACAAGCAACTAAAGTGATTCTGCTGTCCCTACTCATGCCCTCTGGCAGATGCTTCAGCTCACCTAGCAGCAAGCAGACTTAGTAAATGCCAAAACACTGCAAAGCTGAGTTAGGAGACAGATACCAGATATGCACAAAGCAAATCAACCTTTAAGGGCTAGCTTAGAAAACAGGATTACATTACACAGCACCAAAGGATGACAGCTTTTTGACTTCAAATCTTAAGTACCACCTTAAGTATCAGCGTAATTATTAATATGGTAAATGGGTATATAATTATGTTTTGTTGCATATGTCACATTAAAATGTAACCATACTAACCTCAACTACAGCATCATTACTAGAATACTGTGCTAGGTCTCTAATCCCATTCATGAACTGTTTATTTGCAACACAAAAGGCTTTTCCAGTATCAATCATGGCAATACAAAGCTTCACAAGCTGAAAAAGAAAAAAAAAATTACATCAGGTTGAAAATAATTTTACAAATTACTTTGTTGAAAAGTGTTGGCAAAAACCACAAGTTAACCTAGCGAAAGACAGGAAATAAACTAATACTTCATTAATACAACTAAAACAGACAGACTGAAATTTTTTCTTATTTTCCTTTGGCTTATAAATTCACAGAAGAGCTGAACCAAAAAATTCAATCTTTAGGACCTAGAGGTTATCTGATAAAACAACAACAATAAAAAGATCATTTTATCAAGTCACATTCGATCCCATAAATTAATTTATTAAGTTCCTCCTAGAAGAAAGAAAGAGGTAAGCAAGCAGTGTGATGAAAAGTAATCTCTTTTTTATTTTTAACTGTGGTGTGTTGGAGGAAAGGTGAGTTAAACTGGTATGGTGGGTTAGTCATGCCTACTGTTCTGGGCATTGTGCTGAGCCTCAGGACTGATCCTTCCTGCGTGTGTGTGTGTGTGTGTGTGTGTGTGTGTGTCTCGCCCTCCCTCCTAATTTCCTTCCTTTCATTTTTCCTTCCTCTCTCTTTTTCCCCTTCCTCCTTTCTTTTACTCAGACACAGAACATTTTCTTTAAGCAAAATCTTGGATGAATGTCAAATATTAAAAATAAATAAAAATGGAACTGCTCTGGATAAAGAAGGGGCAGATACTGAAAGGGGTAGGAAGGAGGAACACCAAGCATAAAAAGTAAGAAAAATGTTTTATAAAACTCATGAAGAATCTCAAGAGCATAATTTAAATCCACTGCCCTAATGTTGAGAGGAAGAGAGTTAATGTAATCTCTGCTTTCAAGGAGCTCTAATTCTAACCAGCAGGCAGGCAGATCAACTCCACAGAACAGACACCAGTGCAATGACAAAAACCAAGAACATCCCATGGAAAAACACCTCACTTGAACTGTGTAGATCAGGAAGAATTCTTAGAAAAGATAGCACAAGATATTGCTGAACTTCTAAGAGTTTATGTTGGGGAGCGGGGCATTGCTGGGGATCCATCCCAGGTCTCATACATACCAGGCAAGTGTTCCACCAATGAGCTACACCCATACCCCAAAGGCTCTGATATATTAATGTGCATCTAAAAGATGCATTTCTCAAAATGATTTGACCATGAAATTCTCTTTAAAGGAAACATTCCCATAGAACCAATGTTCCACAGAACCCACAGTAAGAAATGCTGGCAGGGCTGGGGATTAAGCTCAGTAGTATAGCACTTGCCTAGCATGTGTGAGGCCCTGGGTTTGATCCCCAACACTGCAAAAAGAAAAAAGAAAAGAAATGCTGACAGAGATAAGTCTTTAAAATGGTGTGTTATTTAAAAAATAAAATATCTTACAAGGAAAACAATCTAAAGTTCACAAGGAACAACCAACACACAGTGGAAAAAATTTTTTTGAAAAAGTAATAAAATGAGAACATTAGCCTTATATGACATTAAAATATATTACAAAATATAGTAACTGGAAGCCTAGTAGTAATTGATCAATGGAATATAATACAGATCAATGGAATATAATACAGAGTCAAGTATTATATTATATTATATGAAGTATTTGATTAAAGTAATATTCTAATCAGTGCCAAGGAGGGGGCAGCAGGTGATTATCTAAAAAATGACATTAGGGGCCCTGGATAGCCAAGGAATCAAAATCCTCAAATTAAATTCAGATGGAATAAAGATTTAAACATAAAAAGTGAAATCACAAAACTAAGGTAAAATAGAAGGTGTTTTTTAATATAATCTCAAACTGTGAAAAGTTTTTCTGAAAAGGATACAAACCTCAAAATCCATATGAAAAAGAAATTGATAAATTCAAGTGATAAAAATAAAATATCTATAAAAGAAAAAACAATTAACTTAGTCAAAAGACAACAATATGGGAAAATAATATTAGCAACAAATCCCAAGGGACTAATTATCCTATCATAAGAAAGGATATATATTTTGAAAGCATTCTGAAAACCCAATCATACTGTAGGGGGAAAAAAATGGGTCACGGACATGCACAGATAATTCCCAAAAAGGACATACAAATGTGTCTTAAATCCATGAAAAGATATTCAATCTCACTCATATTAAAGAAATGGAAATTACCATTTTTTACAAAACTAAGATCAAAAAGTTTGATAACAGGCTGTTTTAGAGATGGTAGATAAGGGGAAGTAGACATTTTTATACATTGTTAGTGGGAATATAAATTGGTAACATTTCTTTGAGAAGTAATTTAGCAACAACTGTCAAAATTTAAAACAAACTCTCTAGTCTGGCAATTTCACTTTTTAAAATGTATCATACATATTTGCACATAAGCCACAAGACACATCTGAAGCAATGCATTGCAGTCATGATAAAAATATCAGTTGCTAAATCAAGTGTCCATCAGTAAACAATTGGATAAATAAATTATAACGTATCCATATAATATAATAAAATTCAGCCATAAAAAAATTTGGTCAGGGCAGGAGTATAGCTCCCCCAGTGGTAGAGCACTTACCTAACATGTACACAGCCCTGGGTTCAATCCCCAGCACCAAAAAGAAATAAAAAAAGGAAACAGGGAGAGCTTTATGATTAATTACAAATAGCATTCTGTTAGAGTCTGTAAACAAGTCAAAATAACACCTGGCATTTTGCCAGGGGAATGTTAGAGTTCGTAAACAAGTCTGGATGGTGCCTGGCAAAATGCCAGAGGGAGTGGTTTGAGAAGTAACAAAAGCAAGCCATTAAGTGTGGAGATTCCTTATTGGTTGACTGAAGCTGTGTGGAATGTATAAATACTGCTCCTGTCCTGCAATAAACGGCTCCTGCTCCTGCTGTATCAATCTACACAAGTTGTTCGTCACAACCGCCCCCCACCCCGCTATTTTGCCCAGCCAGCCGGGCTGCGGCAGCATTCAAAATATATTAAGGAAAAAACAAAATGTAACACAGTATTAATATTTTTGTGGGGAGTGGAAAGAACCATTTGTACGGAACAGTGCAAATCTATATAATTTTCATATGCTTAGAAAATTTCTGTAAGGACACACAAGAAACTAGGTCAGTATATTCCCCTAGCAAAGAGATTAGAAGATGATTAATTTTCACTGGTACACACTCTTTTACCTTTGATTTTTTTACTAGATAGATGTTATTACTTATTCATCAAATTAAATAATTCAAAAGTAATTAAAATTCCTTTTCCCATAACAGCAGAGAGAGACAGATTAATAGACAAGGTTAAAAGACAAGGTTCTCAGCTCAGTCTTCTTAGGTTCAAATCCTGTTGCCATACATAACCATCTAAGTGCACCTGGTTGACCTAAACCTCAACAAACTTTAATTTTCTTTTCTGTATAATACTTAATGATGGTACCACATCATATTAGGTTGCTATAATAAGGTAAGATAACACTCATAAAGACTGAAGCACAGCTGGTGCAGTGGTTCTGGAGGCTGCAGAAGATGAGGCAGTAGGATCAGAAGTTCAAAATCAGCCTCAACAATTTAGAGAGAATCTGTCTCAAAATTTAAACAAATAAAAAGGACTGGAGATGTAGCTCAGTGGTAATGTGCCCCTGGGTCCAATCCCCAGTACCAAACAAAACCAAAACAAACAACAACAACAAAATTTGGCATGAAGTATTACAGGCACATGGTAAGTACTCAACAGAGATTTGTGCTTCCTTGTCAGAGAAGTTATTTGCTTTTATTTTGTTTTTACTAAGAAACCAAGTTGAGCATCTTCATTTAAGATAAAGAGGTGGTAGAGAAGGGATAGAAGAGAGATGGCTAAAGCAAAATGCTGAAGAGGTAGAGAGTTTTAAATTGCATAGGAAAAGGTATACTTTTATTACTCCAGTGGGAAGAAAAATGAAAAAGACATGAACAGATTCTAAGTTTCTAGATAAGGAACAAGAAATAAATATATTCCCATCCAAGCAGAATAATGGTCATTCCACTAAGAATGAAGAACAAAGTAGTAAACCTTGAGAAAATAATTAAGTATTAAAGAGAACTACCAAAGGTAGCAAGAAAGGGACTTGACAGGGTTTTAGAAAAATAGTTTTGCATATAGAATTTGAGGAACCTGTGGCTCCACCAATTGGATTTGACAGTTATATAAAGTCTCCTATAGGGCTTTATTAGCCCAGATATGGGGCAGAAAGTCATACTCAAGACAGTGAAAATTCTGCTGAGCATGGTGGCATGCACCTACAGTTACAGCACTCAGGAAGCTGAGGCAGGAGGACCACTTGAGCCCAGGAGTTCGAGAATAGCCTGAAAAATGCAGCAAGATCCTATCTCAAAAGGAAAAGAGAGAGAAAGAAGGAATGAACTCTGTAGAGTGCTATGTAAGGGAAATGAAGGTCTCCAAAGAGGGGAAAAAATAATGTAAAACTAAGAAGGGAATGAAAGGATTAATAACAGCATTATTCACAATGGCCAAGAAAGAGAAACAAACCAAATGCCCATCAATTGATACTAGATAAACAAATGTGGTATAAAACAGCATATAATACAACCATAAAAGGAAGTACTGATATATGCTACAATATTGATGAACCCTAAAAACATTACATTAAGTGAAAGCAGCCAGTCACAAAAAAGCCAAATATTATGATTCCATTTATAGAAATGTCCAGAAGATCAATACATTTCTTTTTATACCTAAATAGCACTGTAGGATTATTGGACATTGGATTGTTTCCACTTCAGCTATTCTGAATAATGGTGCTGTTGTGACCATCAATGTAAGTTTTGTGTGGACGTATGTTTTCGATACCCTTGAGAATATACTTAAGAGAACTGCTGGGTTATATGGGTATCTGTGTTTAATTTTTGAGGAGCCACCAAAATTATTTTCCAAAGAGGGTGCAGCATTTTGCATCCCCAGCAGCAATGTATGAGGGTCCCACCATTTCCAAACCCAAACTAAGACTTTTATTATTATTTTAACTATCCCATGGGTATGAAAGGGTGAAGTTGTATTTC